CCACATTAAACCTTGTGTCACATCCTGCCAGCATGGGGTGGCAAGTAAACACAAAGTATAGTATCTGTGCATTCTATCCAACTTATACCATCTCATATTTCATAATGTAAGTCAGTGTTTTCACTGTTTTTTGTTGGGAAAATTTTCAGGATGCATTTCTATTAAATATTCATATATATTTCTCCTGGATATAAAGTGGGGGATTGGTTTTCTATCGTTTTTATATAATAAATAGATCTCCCTTACAATTACTACACTCTCAGATTTTATTAAGTGAGTCAATGTTTTCACGTTAAAACTGGTTCTAACCAATTGTTGCTGGGGAAAATTTCAACATATATTTACATTAAATATTAATATAAATTTCTGCTGAATATAAAGTGGGGGATAAGTTTTCTATTGTTACTATGTAATAAATTGTACCCCCCTTACAATACACTGTCTGATTTTATTATGCAAGTCAGTATTTTCACAAAAGAATTGGTTCTATTGGGAAAATTTCAAGATATATTTTTTTTTTATATTAATATAAATTTCTACTGGATATGAAATGAGGGATCGATTTTCTATTGTTATTAAGTAATAAATTGTCCCCATCCCCCTCTTACAATTACTACACTGTCAGATTTTATTATATGAGTCAATATTTTTATAATAAAATTGGTGCTCATCAGTTCTTGAAGGGAAAATTTCAAAACATATTTATATTAAATATCAATATAAACTTCTATTGGATATAAATGGGGGATCAGTTTTCTATTATTATTAAGTAAGAAATTGATCCCCTTTACAATTACTGTCAGATTTTAAGGGAGTCTATTTTTTTCACAATAAAATTGGTACCGACCAACTGATGTTCGTAAAATATTCAGTATATATATTTATTTATATGAACAATATCCCATGTGAATTTTAAGTTATAATAGTTCTAGTGTTATTAAGAAGAAAACTTATTTTGGGAATGTCAGGTTTTATTATGCAATGTGCAAGAGAATGGGAAACCACTTTACTATCTTTTCCAAGATCTCATGGCAATTCACAGATAATAAAGGAAAGGAAGCTGTGGAGAGCCATGATTGCTTCTGTCCTGAAAGGACATGGCATCTAAGAAAAGGGTAACTATTTTAGGAGAAGGGAATGGGAAACCACTTTACTATCTTTCCCAAGAAGGCATGGCAATTCACTGATAATAAAGGAAAGGAAGCTGTGGAGATCCATGATCATTTCCATGCTGAAAGGACATGGCATCTAAAAAAGGGGAAGTAGTTTAGGAGAAGGAAACAGGGAAACTACTCTACTATCTTTCAGAAGAAGGCATGGCAATTGACAGATAATTAAGGAAACTGTGGAGAGCCATGATTGTTTTTGTCCTGAAGGGACATGGCATCTAAAAAAGGGAACTAGTTTAGAAGAAGGAAATGGGGAAAATACTCTACTATATTTTCGAAGATGTCATGGCAATTCACAAATAATAAAGGAAAGGAAGCTGTGGAGAGTCATGTTCGCTTCATGATCCTTTTACTATGAAAAGGGCAACAAAAATTATTCTAATAAATCCATAAATGCTAAAGAAACAATTTGATTAACACCTTATTCCATAAACCTGAATAAATTATTATTTTACATAGACTTCTTGACATTCTATAATCTTAATCAATTCTTTATCCATTGATTTTTGTTAACTTATCTACTGTTCCAACTTGAACATTACTTGCAGCACTTTTTATTGCTTCCCAATGATCTCTGCTTGAATATTATGTACCATTTTTATAAACATCTCTTTTAATGATGTTCTATTAGCTCAAAATCTAGAGAGGCTGGGAATCATACCATTAAGTTGGGGCCATTGAAACCATTTTGGGAGCAAGGTGGGCAATAGTCAGCCTTGCAGAATGTCAAGGAGCATTTTTTGCCTGAATATACTCTTTACCTTAAAACTTTGTTATGACTTATGCTCTTCAAGAGACATTTTCCCCTAGGATCTGTACACTCCGCTGAGGATTAAAATGTTGCTCCTTAACTCTCTGTCTAAGATCAGTATAATATCTGTACAAATTGCTGAGAATCAAAATGTTTCTTCTCCACTATTTAGCTAGGATCAGTGGAGTATCTGGGCAATCTACTGAGGACTAAAATGTTGCTTCTTTGGTCTCTGCCTTGGATTAGTATAGTATATGGGCGCTCTCCTGTGTATCATGATGTTGTTCCTCAGCTCTTTGCCTAATATCAGCGTAGTATCTGTGCATTCTGGTGAGGATCATAATGTTGTTCTTCAGCTCTTTGCCTAGGATCAGTTTAGTATCTGTGCACACAGCTGAGGATGAAAATGTTGTTCCCCAGTTCTTTGCTTAGTATCAGTGTAGTATCTGTGCACTCTGGTGAGGATCATAATGTTCTTCATCACTTTGCCTAGGATCAGTTTAGTATCTGTGCACTCAGCTGAGGATGAAAATGTTGTTCCCCAGCACTTTGCCTAGTATCAGTGTAGTATCTGTGCATTCTGGTGAGGATCATAATGTTGTTCCCCAGCTCTTTACTTAGTATCAGCGTAGTATCTGTGCACTCTGGTGAGGATCAAAATGTTGTTCCTCAGCTCTTTACCTTGGATCAGTATAGTATCTGTGCACTCTACTGAGGATCAAAATGTTGCTCCACAGCTTCTGTTAGATGTTCAAATCAGGACAAGAATCACTTGTTAGTTTTATGAATATGTTTGCTTTAGAGGCTTTCTACTGGTTTAGTTTTGTTTGTTTTGTTTTACAGCTTATCAACCCCAATGGGTTATTTAATGCTGACAGCTTTTTTTCCTGGTAATAATTTCTTTTGTCAAAAATCTATTTCTGGTAATATTTTTTTCCTGAAAAATGTATAGCTGGTAATATTTTTTTCAAAAATGTATTGCTGGTAATATTTTTTTTTCAAAAATGTATTGCTGGTAATTTTTTTTTTTTCAAAAAATATTGCTGGTAATTTTTTTCAAAAAATATATTGCTGGTAATAGTTTTTTTTTTCAAAAATAAAATATTTTTTTTTATATTGCTGGTAAGTTTTTTCTTCAAAAAATTTTTAAATTTTTTACAAAATATTTCTAGCATTAAAACCTATTTTTATACTTTCATAATGCTTTTTACCTCGGTTTCAGGGTTAACTATTTACCCATAGATGGGACCCTAACAGGTGCTACCACTCTGGGTCAGGGCGGACCTGTGAACACCAGTAATTAAGCGATGGTTCCACACTCCTCAAAACCTCCTGATCAGAGGCTTTGCTGTTGGACATAGTTTATCATCTTACCCTGGATGCAGATGTAGTTTATCACCATACCCAGGACAGAGAGGCTATGTGCAGAGAAACTAAAAAAGTGTAACCCACACTTTTCATTTTTTATGTGATTGTCATCTTTGTTATGTGGTGGATGTGCAGGTGGTGTAATGGATAGCAGCTTGGAATGAGTAATCAGAATGCTGAGTTCAGATTTCACTTGGATTCATTGCATTCACCTATGCACAAATATTCTTGGGGAATGTATGAATCTATCTCCTCCCCTAAGTAATTTTTTCAGATATAAGTCTTATTATTTAATAAGACTTATATCTGAAAAAATTACTGTTATTCTCAAAAATATTAATGTAATAATCATTCACAAAAATAAAAATTATTCTTATAATCCAAAATATGCCGCAGCTTGAAATAACTCACAAAGTGTTGACAAACCATAAAAAATAAATTAATTTAAATCTCTGTTATGGATGACTGTGTGAGGTGCATCAGTTAACAATGAACAAGAACTTAACATAAGTTTACAGTGTATGTTCTTTATTAATGTTAATGATAAAAAATCTTATCAATTGAGGATAGAATGACATACTTAAGATGTGATAATACTCAATCACTGAATGATAATTAAAATTAAACTGCACAACTATAAAAAAAGGTAATTAAAAATGATTATTTTAATGGTTGTTAACATTTAATGGTTATTTTAATGACTGTTAACATTTAATGGCTATTTTAATGGTTGTCATATAATAGTTATTTTAATGGTTGTTAACATTTAATGGTTATTTTAATGGTTGTCTGATAAAGGTTATTTACACAGAAAGTTGAATCAGTGAGCAGAGTTCAAATTCTAGGCTAGTCTGTAGCATCTACTTTCACACTAATGCTCTTCCTGACAGCATGACTCTTTTTCTTCTCCAAATAGCTAAATGTTAAATAGAAGTGTAGACAGTGTTCTCTATCTTTGTTTGGCAACCATTCAAAGAGAAGGAAAATTCCGAATTGTCAACTGGGAGAAAGCAAAAGAAAAGCAATCTGCTATCTTTCTGAATAATGCCTGGTAATTCACGGATAAAAAGAAACATTTGTAGAAAGTCATGAGCACCTAGATCCTGAATGGATATGGTGTTAAAAATGGCTTTGAAACAGAGTAAATGAAACAAGAAAGATGTGCATAATTCATAGAAGAACTGCAATATTGGAGCTGTACAGGAAAAGTATTAAAATGTACTAATCAAAACAAGAAAGATAAGGATAATTTCTCAAATAACCTCATTATTGAAGCAATTCCAAAAGGCATCGAAGCATAGTAATCAAAGCAAGAAAGGTGAGGATAGTTTATTGAATAGCTACAGTACTGAAGGAGTCCATGGAAGGTCTTGAAACATGGTTATCAGAAAAAGAAAGGTGAGGGTAGTTTATTGAAATGACTATAGTACTGAATCAGTTCCAGCAAGGCATCAATACATAGTAATCAAAATAAGAAAGTTGATGATAGTTTATTGAATGACTATAGTACTGAAGTAGTCCAGGGAAGGTCTTGAAACATGGTTATCAGAACAAGAAAGATACAATATGCATTCAATTAATTGTGAAATAGTTAATGACAGTTATTAATTTTTCTTTTTTACAGCCTTTAAAAGTTTTCATTTCCTTTTATTTTATTGTAAAGTTTCTTTTCTTATTTTTCAGAAGAGCCATCTTCAGGTTGCTGTGGCAAGATGGATATCCTGAAACGGTTTTTGATCTTTTCACTTATTTTCACTTCCACCATTCTCATTGTCTTCATCAGTCTTTACATTTGGCAGGCAAGCATCGATGAAAGCAAACAGGTATCTCTGGCTGAAAGCTTGATTTTTTTTTCAACTTAAATGTAACCTTGGAATTCATCTGCTTTTAGTAAAATTCTTAAAGACAAATTCCCAAGATAAGTTGGTTGGCTGGTTTTGTTTATCAACCTCTATGGGTTATTTAATGCTGAAATTTAAATATTTTGCATGCAGTTTTCTTTATTTTTTTTTAGATAATAATGATTTTAGTGATTACTAATTAACCCATAACTGGGGAGAGAAGAGGTGGATTCATACCTTTCCTAAGTGTATTTGCATGTAAGTGAATATTACAAACCCGGCTGGAATTGGAACATGGTTTTCCAATTAACAATTCTGAGCCATTATCTATTACAGCCCCCTTGCATACTAAAGCTTACAGCAGCTGGTATTCTTATGTGTTCACCCAACTAGGTGCTGACCAGGCTTCATGTTGCTTAACCAGTGATTGTACAGGAATCAGTGTTTCAATGTGATGTAGCTGTAAGCCCTGAAAATAAGGTTGATGTCTTGGTGATGGTGTTATTACCATTTATTAGCAGTGTCTTCTGACTAGATTTTTCAGACGCAAGATCTTCCTAAACGTCAGCGTCTATGTTAATCTTCCTGAGTGTGTCCTTGAGACAGCTTTTGTAGTAGTGGATGTGAATTTGATGTTGATGTAATGGAATAACCAGTTACCCCCATGAATGATTACACTATAGGTAGTAAAGTCAACTGTCTACGAGAGACTGCAGGAAGAGTGAGAGCGAGATGACACAAGCACGTCCGACCTTCCAATTAGTGGCACTCACTACTAGATTTACCTGTATGTATAACTGTACCATATTTCATATTTGTACTGGTTGTGTATAATAAAACTTTCTTCTATTATCCACCTGGTGTTAAGTATTTATTCTCTTAGCACACAATATAGCAGATGTAATGTATGACAATTGAGAAATTGAAAAGACAAGTTTTAATTCCAGTTGGGTTTATTACATTCACTTACATGTAAAAACCTCCTTTGCCCAACTATGGGTTAAATAGTATGACTTCTATCTGGAAAAATTATGGTTATTCTATAAAACGGTTTTAATGCAATATTCACTTGCATAATTAGTCTTTTATCTCTTTATGGCAAAGAACGAGGCTCTAATCAATACTGAATCAAAGCATCTCACTTCATACAGCCTTCTTTCAGATAAACAGGATGGCTTTTGTTTTTCCAGAGATCCTCCCAATGTGTTAATATTTATTATTGGATCTCTCTATCAGGCTTTAGATAAGAAAGACAAAGCTTGGGCTCTGGATTTAGATATCTTGAAGGTGTTCAAAAGGGTTTGGCATGCTGGTCTTCTCTGCATGCTCAAGAGCTACATTGTCTCTGGATGGATATTTGGCTTTATCTAATTGTTCTTAACAAGAAAAGTATTATTTTTAAAATCCAAAATCTTATGGCATCAAATAATTCCAAAAGGGGTGATAAGCCATAAAAAACAAAGATATGCAAGCTCAAGTTTCATGAGAAGCCTCATCTTTGTTCCTATATCTTACTACCATATTTTTCTGACACACTTTTTTACTGCAACATCTGCTGTCAAAATCTACTTGCGATTGTAGCAAAGGTTGATAAAATTTGAATTAGACAATAGTGTTGTTGGTCACTAGTTTGAGTGTCTATAGGGACTTGAGCTTAACCCAAACCTCAAGTGGAACTCATACATATGATCCATTGTTAAAGATGCTGGTACAATGATCAGCTTTATGAAACTCTCTTCCAGCGCCATGCTTTCCAGACAACTTTGATCTTCAAGAATTTAAATGCAATGTCAATCATTATCTATTGTCTTCTTGATTGCTCTTCTATTGTTCTCTTTCCTTAATAATGTTTCTCTTTTTTTCTTATTCTTTCACAATCAGTAAACCTTTGTGTCTTAGTGGCTTTACTGCCTTACTTGTGGTGAAATGATAAACAAAAAAAACACTTCCTATTATCCTCTATTTTTACAAGAGTCAGATCAGGCCAAAATGGAGTACCGCTGCTTTATATATTCACTTTTCAAGTCTCAAGAGAGCCCAAAAGTTTATTTTCCACCCTACAACCCCTTTTCTCACAGATGAAACATTGCAAGCCTCTCCTTACACTGTTGCTATTTCCATGGAGAGTGTTTAGATGAAGTACATTCCTTAGCTATGACGGTAAAAACTGGTTAGTTTTAAACTTCATGGCTAAAACCAACCACACCACGCACATTGTAGAAAACCACCCTCATTCCCCTTAAATCCCATTGGTAAGATGTAAGTTCCACTGCTTTGTGGAACCAACACCCATGAGGATGCTTCCCTGGATCACTACAATCTTGTGGAATCAACTATGAATATTCTTTCTGGATCACTACAATCTTAGGGTTAACTTCTTAACTATGTTTCTTATTCTGTAACCATCTACCTCGAGTGGCTCTTTGGCCTTGTAAAAAAAGATATCTCACATAGTAATAGCAGTAGTTTTGTTAAGAAACATGATATGCTCTATGATACTGGGTGCAAATTTACTGAGAAAAACTCAGAAATTAGTACACTTTCAATATTTTTTACCTCAATAAATTATTTTTCTGTTTCATTCTTTAAGTTGAAATTATTACAATGAACAACTTGGACCAAAAAATACAGCCAATGCATTGGTTATTCATCATAATAGGTCTAACCCGTCATTATTTTTTATTACTTTAAACATATTTAGTCAATGTATGCAGGGCCAGTGCATATCAACCTCCGACCCCTGAAACCTGATTAGGGACTCTGGACATTAACTTATCAACATTTACTTTTTTCTACCTTCATTTATATGTTACAAATCAAACTAAACACGACTGGCTATTAAAGGATGCAAATTTTTTCTGATTTTGACATCAATTCTGTTTTGGTTTTTTTGTTCAGATCCATAAAATAAAGTCTAAAAAAAAACACTTTATAGAATTCACTATTTTTTATCTATAATGTTGAATGTGTTAAAATTCTTTCAACTTTTTAACAAGAAAAATCTCCAGTTGTTGTTAAAAATTGACACAAAATTTTGTTGATTTATTTATGTCTTTAATTTGTATTTAGATACATTGTATTTATTTTCCATTTTTCTAGTTGAATTGTTTACCTATATTGCATACGATCCATTATTGTACATAATTAGGTTATAATAAAATTTGTATTTCTTAGGAATACTATCTTATGAAAATTGAGATGTAGTAGAGTGTGGGAGGGAAGCATATAGATTTGGTGGAGCCATTGATAAGAAGTAAGTTCCACTTGAACTTCTTCCTGAGGACCACTGCTCTGTCAAACTGACTCCTAAGAGGATGGTTCCCCAATCATTACAATCTTAACCTGTTCAAGTCTAGCATTAATTGTTATCTTCCCCACTTATAAACTGACACTTTAACTGTTATGGGACCTTACCCATAATAACATAATGGACTATTCCATACATAATAAATACTGCATCTCAAGAGGAAGTGGGGAGTTCAGCCTGAAGTCGGACGACCGGCTGATCAGTTGAACTCTCTGCTTTCGGGCGGGGAGGAACCAGAACGAGGCTACGCCGAAGGGCAGAGTCTCTTTCGGGGAGGTAAACCGACCCTGAACCCATTTATATGGGTTTAAAGGGCATATTTTTGAGATCCCACGTTAAACCGGCCTTGTGCCACATGATGCCCTCGTGGGGGGGGGACTAAATACCGTTCAGTCTGGAGTGAAGTCTGTCAGGAGTCTGTCAGTCAGTCGAGTCAGAGGTAGTCTGAAACAGAGTAGTGTTCAGACAATTACTACTAAACCTGATTGCTCGTACTAATACTTTCTACTTCTCTGTATATATTCCTGTTTGTAATATATCTGTGTTATTCCATATCCATGTTTGAGTTCTTCTTTATTGGTTCTACCTTGGACTATCACCGTGATACAAGGAACTGGACCATAACATTAATGTAGCCCTCTACTTCGAGTGGCCTCCAGGCTTTGTACACTCTGTAAAAAAAAAAATTATTCTTAATATTGAATGTGTTAAAAATATTCAACTTTTTAACAAGAAAAAATATATCAAGTTGATGTTAAAAATTGCTGCAAAACATTGATTTATTTAATAAATTTATTTATTTATTTAATAATGATCTATTATGACATGTCTATAATTTGTATTTAGATACATTGTATTTATTTTCAATTTGTCTAGTTGAATTGTTCACCTATATTGCATTTTTGTACATAATTAGGTTATAATAAAATTTGTATTTTATATGAATATTACCTTATGAAAATTGAGACTTGGTAGAGTGGAGGAAGGTATATCATAGATTGGTGGGGTCCCCTGTATCATTGATTTGGATGGTCCCTGAGTCATCAGTTTGGGTGGTCCCTATATCATTGATTTGGTGGGGGCATGAGACCCTTGCACTGGCCCTGCATAAAACTAAGGACAATTGATTATTAAAGGATGAAAAATACTTTTGGTTTTTGATGTCATTTCATATTTTTTTTTTTTTTCTCCCAATCCATGAATTTGTTTTGCTTGAAAAAAACACTATATAAAATTCACTGTTTTTATCCATAATGTTGAATGTGTTAAAATTCTTCAACTTTTTAACAAAAAAAATTTGATGTTAAAAATGGCCACAAAACATTACTGATTTATTTAAGATGGAATGATCTATTATGACAGGTCTCTAATTTGTATTTAGATACATTGTATTTATTTTCAATTTTTCCAGTTGAAATGTTCACCTATATGACACATTGATCCCTAAGGAAGATCTTTTAGGTGCTATGACAGATAAGGAATACTGGAGAGGTGTAGTGAGTTCAATCTCGGCTGAGGCCGCAAGATGATGATGATGATATTACATAAAGATACATTATTGTACATATTTGTATTTTATATGAATACTGCCTAATGAAAATTGAGATGTTGTAGAGTGAGGTAGGTATCATAGAATAGGGGAGGTATCATAAATAAAACCTATAAAACATAGCTTCTACTAAAATCAGATGTGTTTTTTTCCCCGAAATGAAACCAATTATATTATGATATGTCTCTAATTTGTATTTAGATACATTGTATTTATTTTCAAATTTTCTAGTTGAAATGTTCACCTGCATTGCATATGATCCATTATTGTACATAATTAGGTTACAATGAAACTTGTCTTTTATATGAATACAACCTTATGAAAATTGAGATGTAGTAAACTGGTGGGGCCTGTATTATAGATTTCGGGCTGCCTCCATATCATAGATTAGGGTGGGTGGGGTTAAAATGAGACCCTTGCACCAGCCCTAGATATATGTATTTGAGTAGATATCTGTAGTTTTTAAACTGTGAAAATTTATGTCTAATGGCCTGTACATTTGAGATTCTTAATAAAGAAAATTTACCTTCTGGTAGGGTTTGAACCTGCATCCCCTTATAGGAGAAACCATAGTAGCCACTATTTCACCATTAAGACCCTTGAGGGTGCAGACTGATGTAGATTTATACCATTTAAAAAAATGAATGAAAGAAAATGAATTGAAGCCTTTTAATGTGAATTTTTTGGATAAACTTTTATTTTATTATTGGTTTTAGCATAATTTTTGAGGTTGAGTTTTCTCAACCCAGGAAATTTTCTTATTTATTTAACAATGTTTTTAACCTTGATATATATATTTTTTTTTTGCCAGGTTTGTATTGATGACAAATGTATTCGTTCAAGTGCCTTCATTTTGAACATGATGGATCAAAGCATTGACCCTTGTGATGATCTCTATTCATTCTCCTGTGATCGTTGGATCCAAGCCAACAATGCAACCTTGAGGGCTTCCAAACTCACCGTTCTTCAATTTATGCAGCACCACCTCCAGGAAGAGATTGGAAATGTATGTTTGATTTGAATACTTCTTTTAATTGGCAGTAGTTCAATCGAATCTTATATGTTTTAATTTATGAGCACACACACACTTATTAATCTTAGTCCTGGGTATGACGATAAACTACATCTGGCAGCAAGATCTCTAATCAGGAGATTGGAGGTTTTGAGGAGTGTGAAACCAACTCTTATTTGTTGTTGTTCCCAGGCTCACCTTAACCCCAGGTTGTAGCACCTGTTATATATAACTCTCTGGGGAAGAAGTGTGGGTTTGTAAACAGTGACTATTACAGCTAATAATGCAAGACTCTTCGGTAAATCAAATCGAGTTCTCTCAGTCACTGTGTGTTTATCTAAAAATAAATACGCTTAAATTCACCTTCGTCCATGCCGTGCACCAATGGCTTAGTGGTAGAATCCCCAACTGATGCCAATTCAGTCGGGTTTCGTTCCTAGATAGAGGAAACAGGACATCTAGCCACACTTATGTGCTGTGATACAGCAAAACAGTCTGTCTGTGGATGACAATATATATATATATATATATATATATATATATATATATATATATATCCAAATGAGAAAAAGAAAAGATGGAGTAAAATTCTACTGTTCATAGCATGTACTTTTAAAAAGTGCTCAATACAAAGTAGAGCAATATATTATTATTATTTTTATTATAAGAGATTATAATAAAAACATGTTGAAATCACAATTTCAACATATTTTTATTATAATCTCTTAAATAAAAATAATATATATATAGTCATCAAGAGACAGGCTGTTTTGCTGTATCACAGGTCTTCAGTGTGGTTAGACATCTGAATTGCTCCAAGCTGGGATCGAAACCTGACTGATTTGGCATGAGTCAGAGAGCCTACCCCTAGGCTATCATTTCATGGCAGAGAGAAAGGGAAATTTTAATGTTTTCTACATGAAATATGCCAGTGGCCCAGAGAGCTTAATTCAGTTGAAGAGCAATGTGTTAATAGCAGTATGAGCCACTGTTTTTAAAATTAACTTTTTCTCAAGAGAGATTTCCTGGGAGCATATATTCACATAATAATATACTGGAGTCATAGATAGTCTTTAAATGTACACATGAAATAAGCTCTTGAGTAAAAGACTAAAAAACAAAAATACTTTTGATACAGTCTAATATATAACAATAATGCTATTAATATAGTGGAGTCGTAAATAGTCTTTAGATATGAACATGAAAAAAAGTAAAGATCTGTAAAAATGAAAATACTTTTGATACACTTTAATAAAGCGACATCAACAAGTTTTGAATTTTCTTTTTAAAAAAATTCTTTGTTTTCAGATTTTGACTGAATCCAGTTCACAACAAAATGGGAAAACTGTGAAATCTATTGAAAAAGCCTTATTGTATTTCCAAAATTGCCAGAATGAAAGTGACATTGAACTACAAGGAGCTGCACCAGTCAAAAAGGCAAGTTTGGTTAAATTACAAAAAAAAGAATACTAAATATCCCCCAATTCAAGGCTCGTGTTCCACTCAAGCTAGATGGTTGTTTTCTATGCACCACGTCCCTTCAGGAGGTTGGTGATCATGGTACACCACAATTTCCTGTCCTTTGTAGCACTTTTTTCAAGGTTGGAAGCCACTAGTGTGCAAGGGGTTACAGAAGATTTGGAGCAAGAGCAGATAGGAGTGATAGAGGAAAGGATGAGGAGAAGGATAGTGGATAGATCAAGGCAACTGGAGATGTCAATTGACATTACATTTGAATAGTTGAAGATTATAGCTATCAGGGAAACAGGAATAGGGAAGGGAGTTCCACAGACGAGATGTGCGAGATATGAAGCTATTGGAGTAGAAGAGGCAGCTACATTTAACAATTTCAACAGTGAAAGGGTGAGAGTGGGTTGCCAGCCTCATAGGATGCTTGAATTCATGCAGTCTGGGAACCAGCAAAAGCAGCTCATTGGAGCAATTACCATGAAAGTATTTGTAAAAAAGACAGAGAGAGGTGACAGTACGTCTGTGAGAGAGCGGCTGCAGACGAGATGCCAGATCAGGGTCAATTATATTGCATATCTGTCTCTGGATCTTATCAAGAACCCCAAGACAAACAGAAGTGGCTCCAGACCATATATGGCAGCAATACTCCATGCAAGGGCGAATGACTGACTTGTGACTTTGTGCTAGCACAATCATCAACGGATTATGAACAGTTTTAATGATCCAATTTCAATCACTAGGCTATGGTCAACCTGTGGCATGATTTTCAGACACTTTTCAACAGCGGTGCATGCTGGGACCATCTCCACTTGCTGATAGCATCAAGAAGTCAACTCACTAGCAAATCAAGAATCACTACCCTGACAAATCGATTATGTTTTAAAAAAATAAGAAAAAAAGAGTACCATTTTTATTTTATAGGGATTGTAAACAAAAACTTTAAAATCTGTATAAATTAAAATTAAGTGAAATGAACAAATTAGATTCAAATTATAGCAGACACATTATTCAAACATATTCTATGAATTAATAAATTTCAGACAGAATGAAAGTCTCATTTCATTGAAAGTTATTAATGAAATATGAAACTTAAAATAAAATTTAATCAACTTATAATTTACAGAGAAAAATAAAAGTTGCATGGCATTTAAAACATTTCAAATAATTAATCTGCAAAGTTTCAGGTTTTAAGTTATTAGAAATGTTATACTCTTTATTAAAAGAGAAAATAATCCACTGAGATGAAAATATCTGGAAAGTGCCTTGATCACTAGTTCAGCCATGATAAATTTGCATCCAGGCTCTTACAATATATTACCATTCTTGGTAGATATTTTTTTATATAGTTTTAAGTTTGTCTGTTTTAATCAAGTAGAACTTATATATATAATCCATCACTAAAGATGCTGGAAAAATGGTCAGTTCCCTGTACTGCTCTAGTAAATACCTTACTCCTCATACTATCCTCTACCTTTACAAGAGCCAGATCAGGCCTAAAATGGCGTACTGCTGTCATATATAGGCAGGAGCTACTCATTCTTCACTTTCCAGTCTTGATAGAGTCAAAAAAAAGTCTATATAAACACAAAAGGGACATTTTAAATAACTACACACAAAACACATTGGTTGTTCACGTAACAAAACAGACCACAATTTTGACATAGCGAATGCTATTTTGATTAAAAGAAAAAATAACCCACTGAGGCAAAACTGTCTGGAAAGTGCCTTGACCACTAATTCAGTTATTATAAATTAACTCCCAGACTCTTACAATATCTCACCATTCTTGGTAGATTTTATATTGTCACAGTGTGGGATAGACATGGAAAAAGTTGATGGAGAGAAAAAAAATACAGATGAATTTGGCTAGATTAAAAAAAAATATTCTTTCAAAAATTTTTAAACTACCTGCATCTCTCATTTTGTGCACATGTGCAAACATGGCAATGTCAATAAATCCCAGTCTGATGAAATCCTAACGGACGAAATGCATTACAAAAAAAAACAGTTTGTTATATTTTTCTAAATACTGTTTGTTGATATATAAAATTATACAAAATTATATATCATTATATCATATATAAAATTCTGTGTTAAAAATGGTCCTTTACCAAAGGTATCTTAATTCTAATTGTAAAGAAAATTTGGTCTGTTTATTGAAAATAAACATGGAGTGCTCTTTTGTGAGTCAGTTTTAACATATTTCAAATTCTATGTTGTGTTAATAGGACTTGCCTGGATTATACCAACTGATTACTACCTACCTATATATATATATATATATATGACAAACTATATGAACACAAAAGGGACATTTTAAATAATAAATAGAAAACTGAAATAAGAGAAAATAATCCACTGAGGCAAATTGATTGCTAGTTCAGACACAATAAATTTGCATCCAGACTCTTACAATATATCACCATTCTTGGTAGATTTTATATTGTCACAGTGTGTGATAGGGACAAAGTTGATGGAGCCAAAAAGAAAAAGAATACAGATGAATTTGACTAGATTGAGAAAAAAAAATATCCTTTCAAAAATTTTGAAACTAACTGTGTCTCTTGTTTTGTGTTCATGTGTCAACAAAGCCAAATCCAATGAAATCCTAACAGATGAAATATGCCACAAAAAAACCTTTCCAGTTTTTTCATATTTTTCTAAATACTCTTTAAGTAACACATTCAAATTTAGCCAAGCATTTCTCTGTTGATTATTTGCATGCATTTTGTGTCTGCTACTACGTCCGCACACCAGATATAAATAAAGGACAACATATCAAGTAGTCCTATTCCATGTGAGTCTGAACAGAAATCTGGGTAAGAGGAGCCATCAAAAAAACTTTTCTGTGTCTCATTTATTTCCTATTGTATGAAAACTCTTCATAAGTAAACTAAAAAAAAAGGACATTTTTGTAAAATAATTCAACTAATTCTGGAATATAAAAAAAAAATTGTGCTTTCACTTCATATGCTTTCTTTTTTGTCTTTCCTCTTAATTTGGGAATGAGTTGAGTACCGTATTTCCTTGTGCATAATGATGACTGTATTTCCTTGTGTATAATATGACTTGAGCATAATACAACCCTGTGATTCTGAAGCTAAAAACAGGGAAGAAATTACATCCTTATGTATAATGTTGTATACTACAGTTCAAAAGTTTGATGTCACCCCCAGAATTAGCATGGGATGAACTTGACAGAAGAGTGAAAGCAAAAAAAAAAGATGAAAAAGAGGCTCTTATAGTTATTGAAAAAAGAATAGAATCAATTATCAAACTTATACTTTGAGAAACTTTTGCAACAAATGTCAAAAATTTGTGCTGCAATAATCAAGGCTAAAGGAAGATATTTTGACGAAAGCAAAATTTAATCATAAAATACTTTTTTTCTTCATGTCAGCCAAGAATATTAACTTGAGAAAGTGCAACAGGTAATTCTCATGTTTTCCCGTGAAGCTAGCTACGTTTTGTCTGTAGGAAAGGGGTTGCTTGTTGGAAAACAATTCATCACTCATAGGGCTGCGCAAACATTTTTGAACTCTGTCGATGCTGGAAATTGAGAATTGGGCTGCTCCATCTGAGATGTGACAGCAATATGTCTAGTAATAATAACTGGAATATAATTTGTATGATTACTGTATTTTCCTGTGTATAATGATGACTATTTCCTTGTGTATAATACGACTTGAGTATAATACGACCCTGGGATTCTGAAGTTAAAAACAGGGAATAAATTACATCCTTGTGTATAATACAGCCATCCCTATGTAAATATTTTTTTGAAAATTTTTGTACCATATTATGCATTAAAATATCAATATAAAAACATATAATAATATTTAATTTTTCATGATATTAAAGAATAGAAATGATCTGGGAAACATGAAATGTCTAAAACATTTCATGTTTCTTTTCCTAATTTCCATTTCAGAACTCATTTTCAGGGAAAGGTGTTTTGTTATAGCATTAGCTAGCAGCATGGCCCGGCGTTGCCCATGCTTGATTCAAAAATCGTACGACATACAGCAATCGCTATCACTTGACTTAAAATATTTTTGCCCTTCCTTGCCTTTAAAGGAGTGCCCTTTGCTGTGCTGATGTTGCTACATGCCTTACTTCTTGCCTATCTCACACTGCGAATTTTTTCTAAGCTCTATAATAAACATTGAATCTGTTACAAAAAAAAGAACTAAGCAAAATGATCAGCTTTAAAAAAGGACTTGTAACTGGAAAAACCGAATGAAAAAAGAATGTTAACAACAAATACTTTTTCACACCCAACCCAGTTCTGCAGAATCAGAATCAACGTTGAGTTTAAGCAAGCAAATGAGCCAATTGGAGTAATGTGCCATGCAGATTTAAATTTTTCCCGCTTGTGACGAATGCAGCTATCGATTTTTTTTTGCATGCTAGCATGCTAGTTAACATTCGTGTCAGTCAGCTGTTGGCTTTCATGCTGGCCAATAGAATCTTCCTGCCTATTCATGGCAGCCAGTTATTGGCTCTCACTCTGGCCAGTAGAAAATGGCTGCAAACTACATGAAAACTGCCGTAGAAGCATGAAAAAATCGATTATTTCCACTATCGATGGGAGTTGGGAAATGCAAAGTTGGTCTTGGCCTTCCCGCTAACTTGGAGCATGTGCATGTAAATTTTGGTGCAAATCCGTTGAAAATTGCGGCTGTGCATTCATTACACACACATGCACACACACACACACACACACATCCTGTCTTTTATAGATAGACATTCATTATTAAAATTAAAATTACTATGGTAACGGCTAGAGCAATTATTTAAAAAAGGGGCGTAAGGGTTAATAATTTGTATCAATATCTCAGTTACATTCAAAGAGGTCAAGAGGTCAGGGTAAGGTTGGGGTGTCTAAATTCAAAGCAGAAGATGATATTGGCTAGTCTGGTTAAGTGTCTATGGAGATTTATTTATTTTTTTATTTCATTTTCTTTCCTGAAAGGGTTTTGTGTATATAAAAAAACTGTCATAATTAGCTAACATTTGTTTTTTTTTTTGACGACTCCATAAAGTTTTTTTTTTTTTATTATTATTATTATTGGGTAGGGCTTTTAAACTTTTTATTTAGACTATGGAGTTTAAAATTTGTATTTATTATTTAATTGTTTGTTGATTTTCTATGCTAATTATTCAATGCGAAAATTTGATGATGTCGGAAAAAAAATGTTAACTCATGTCTATTATTTAATAAATTTTCATTATTTAGAAACTTGATAATGTGTAGTTTTTCATGTAGTCATAAAGGGCATTGGTCATCCCAAGTATTACAAGTTCTAGTTTTGTTTATAATTAATGTCTTGGCCTTCCCGCTAACTTGGAGTATGTGCATGTAAATTTTGGTGCAAATCCGTCGAAAATTGTGGCCATGCATTCGTTACACACACACACACACACATCCTGTCTTTAATAGATAGAGATGTTCTCAAAACATGGCAGATCTTGTGTATTCAGTTTATTAATTTTTTAAAAAAATCAATTTTGGTGAATTTTCTGTCTCTGAGACAAAAGATGTTTAATTACACTGGTTTACAAAGAAATAAATATTTCCCATAAATCTTTTATAAACAATTGTTATCAACACCTGGCTACTTTGCAATTTATTATCTTTTATGCAGAGTGGATCGGCAATCTTGCTGTTTCAAATAAGAGTAAAAATTTCTGAAAACATGTTCTTGCATATAAGATAATTCTCCATCACTTTTTTTACCTTTAATTTTTATTCAAAATTTCTCATATTATACAAAAGTACGGTAGTAGTACTGGTTTTTTGAATGTGGCTCAATTTACTATTTCTAGTCTAATGTGACAGCCTTTCTTGTACATTCTTGTACATTATTATTATTTGATTTAAAATGAATATTAAGTGGGGGATCACTTTACCTTTACAACTACGACATAAAATGATCCCCTATTTTTGCCACTTGACATCTAGATGTGATATATTTCTCTTCTGGAGAAAACATAATTGGTGTTACCATATTTACACCTGTCTACTTTGTGTTTTATCATCTATTGTGCTGAGCGTATTTGCAATATTACTCTTTCAAATAAAAGATTTTTTTAAGCTGAGTAAAAATTTCTGAAAATGTGTACTTGCGTATAATATGCCCCCCTTTACCTTTAATTTTACAAAATTTCTCATATTATACGCAAAAAAATAAGGTATTGTTACAAAGCCAAATTTTTACTTCCAGAATTTCCACATCAAATATTTTTTTTAAGCTGAGTAAAAATTTCTGAAAATGTGTACTTGCATATAATATGCTCCCCTTTACCTTTAATTTTACAAAATTTCTCATATTATATGCAAAAAAATAAGGTATTGTTACAAAGCCAAATTTTTACTTCCAGAATTTCCACATCAAATATGTATAATTTTGGGGACACCTTGTATACAAAAAATATCAGTGTTTAAGAAAACATACTTGTGTCTTTTTTTTTACATATAGATTTCATTATAATTTCAGATGATAGCTAGACTTCATGGTTGGAGTATAGGCAATAACAGTTGGTCAAATAAAACATGGAACCTTCTGGAACCTTTGATTCTCAACCAAAATCTTGGAGGTTCTGCATTTTTTAGCATTTCTGTCGAGAATAGTGACTGGGATTCCAATTCAACGGTGTTAACGGTAAGTTTGTAAGAAGTTTCAGTATTTTTGCTACCTCTTATGACTTTGATTTCAAAATGAAAGTTTAAAAATGCTCAAGTATTTTTATCTATTGTTATCTACTGTGTTTAATGGCATAAAAGTATCTTCTCTCACACTCACCTCCCCAAACACTAAGTAACATCTCCCAGGTCTGATTTTCATCATCTAATGTATTTAATGGCATAAAAGTCTCTGCTCCCACCCTACCCTCCAGAAAGACTAAGTAACAACTCCCAGGTCTGATTTTCATCACCTAATGTGTATAATGGCATAAAAGTCTCTTCTCCCACCCTTTGCTCCAGTAACACTAAGTAACAAATCCCAGGTCTTATTTTCATCATCTAATGTATTTAATGGCATAAAAGTCTCTTCTAAAAACATTAAGTAACAACTCCCAGGTCTGATTTTCATCATCTAATGTGTTTAATGGCATAAAAGTCTCTTCTCCCATGCTACCCTCCAGAAAGACTAAGTAACAACTCCCAGGTCTGATTTTCATCATCTAATGTGTTTAATGGAATAAAAGTCTCTTCTCCCATCCTACCCTCCAGAAAGACTAAGTAACAACTCCCAGGTCTGATTTTCATCATCTAATGTGTTTATTGGCATAAAAGTCTCTGCTCCCACCCTACCCTCCAGAAAGACTAAGTAACAACTCAGGTCTGATTTTCATCACCTAATGTGTTTAATGGCATAAAAGTGACTACATCCCACCCCAATCCTCCAAAAAAGCTAAATAACATCTGCCAGATTTTATTTTCATCAAGTTTGAAACTGTTATTATGTTATTGATAACTGCATTTTATTGCAAATTGAGATAAAGACAATATTAATTGTACAAATTTATCAATGGCATAACAACATTTTCAAACTTGACATTTGTAAATAAAAACAATGTACTGATAACTCTTTAAGAAATCCAGACTTTGGATTTGTATTATGAACAGCACTTTTCTTCTAAAATGATGAAAAAAATCAATATTTTTTTTATTCTTGCAAATGGTGCAACTTGAAGAAAGTCTAATGAATGCTAATCTACAAAAATTATTCCCTGCTGAATTTTCCTCATTTTTTTTTGAGTGGACCAATTAACTTAAGTAGTGCCTGAATTATTTATGTTCTTTTCTTTTCTTTTTGCAGTTCATGCAGTCTGGTTTGACTCTAAAAGCAAAACAAGCCTACAACAAGAATGCGTCTACCAAACTATTCACAAATTATGTGAAAAAAATTGCCACTTTGCTTGGTGTCAAACATAAAACTCTCGACAAAATCAGCGATCTTTATGAATTTGAAAAGCGTATTGCCCATGTAAGTACACAAAGGGTATTTCTCTTACCGTCTACTTAAAAAAAAAAAAAATTGCCTGAGATTGCAGCTTTTGATTTCTATGGCTGTGACAGATAGTAATGATTTTCATCGTCTCAAGAGCTCACAAATTGGTAAATCATTTAATTTATTCTTTGGTTTTTGTGGATGGAGGGGGTAACATAGGGGATTCTTTGACTGCTTGTTTTTCACTGACTCAAATGTAATGTCTTCAAATACTGCACATAATAAAAAAAACTCAATACCCGTTTATCATTTAACAACATTGGTTTATTTTAAGAATAGGAATAGTGAGCAAATCAAAATGGATGAATACTTATGACATTATCTTATGTTAATACAATACTACAGTATAATGATAGTATGCTCATTCATTTATAGTTTTCCCTAAAAAGAGTCTCTTCTTGCAGTTGGGTGGCCTTTTCTTACAGTGTGGTCTCTTTTTGGCAGTCTGATTGACTAACCTATCAGCTCATATGTGTACCCCTTAGACAATTTGCTTTTATCTTGACATTGCTGTATACTTTGCAGTTGGGTGACCTTTTCTTACAGTGTAGTTGGTGCCACTTTAGTTTTATGTCATGAATCTACTTTGCTATGCAATTTACACTTCTTATTGCAATGTATGTGCTATTTATTGCTAGAATATTATTCATAGAAAATTTTGTTAATATTTTAATTACATTTTCTCTATCTTATATATATATATGTTATTATGTTTTACTATGTAGATATCATTCCAAATTAAAAGTTGTATGGTGTCGACATTTTAGTCGATGTACATGTTTTTTATGGCTAGAATATAAATAAAATAAATTTTTTAAAATATTTTAATTACATTTTCATTATGTTATATGTTTTACTATGTAGATATCAGTCCAGAATAAAACTTGTATGGTGTAGATATTTTTTCCTTCTAGATAACAAGCAAAAGTAGCACCATGTAGTCTTTTTTTGGCAGTTAGATGGCCCAACCTCTTATCATCCAAAGTGTGTATCTTGACATTGATGTACACATGCTTTTTGATAATTAAGCTCAAGTTTCCAAGATTCCATTTTCTGAAAACCAGATGGCCCTAATGCAGACAAGTGACCCAAGGCCCAGGATTTGGCACTTCCTATAATTCTATATCAAATAAGCTGAATAGTACAAAATAAAAACATCTTTATTAAATTGACCTTTATCCAAGAGAAAACATTGTGTCAACACAACACTAGATGGTCTGGAGGGGCAATTGGGTGACTTTTAGTTATACTGGTTTTACTAGTGTTCTAGTTAATCTATTGTTCAATCCAGTGCCTGTTTAACATTTTACAATATTTAGTTATTATAAGGATAGGAATAGCGAGCACATCAAAAGGGGTGAAATCTTGTGACATTATTTTATGCTAATAAAATGCTAGAGTGTAATGATTCTATGTGCATTTATAGTTTACCTTCCAAAGATTCACTTTCAGCAATCAGCTGGCCTTCTCTTATGGTGTGGTATTTTTCAAGGTTTGGACAGACTAATCTCTTATCATGTCACATATGTGTCCTTTATATAAAGAATTTGCCTTTATCTTGACATTGATATATAACTTCTTTTGTGAAATTAATCTCAAAAACTACTAGAGGCCCTAATCAGCAATATGGCTTTCACTTCTCTAAGTCAACTGCTGATGTATTAAAGATTATTGCTGAAAGAGTCTATCAAGCTTTAAGTAAGAATTTTGAAGGCTGTTGCTTTGGACATCTTGAAAGCATTTAACAAGGTTTAGTATACTGGTCTTCTTCACAAGTTGAAAGGTTATGATATTTCTGGACAAATTTTTTGAACTGATTAGGTCTTTCTTATTAAATCGTGAAATGAAAGTCATCCTGAATGGCCAATTATCTAGCTCTTTTTGTACTAATGCAGGTGTCCCCCAGGGCTCTATCCTTCAGTTATGTGCCATGCGTCATACACACTTAGGTGATCATGTATCTTTTGATACCTGACTGATTTTTTTCCTGCAGTAGGTTGCCATTTCTTTCTGTGGTAGACCAGTTACCATCTAAGGCTATAGAACCTAGTCTGTCCTGCAATTTAACTATAGCTGGGGTGAGGAGAAGAGGATTCATACCTTTCTCAAGGGTATTAGCATGTAAGTGAATGTAATGGATCTGACTGGAATTTGAACTCAGCTCTCCGATTTCTCAATCCGAGCCGCTATCCATTACTTCACCATGCCTCCTTGCTCTATCCTTGGACCTACTTTATTCTTAATTTTCATCAATGAATGTCATCAGTTCTCAACTCTGTATCTATGCTGATGACACAATTATTTACTACAGTCTCAGTAGTAAGTCTAATCAGTTTGATATGGTCAGATTTTCAGCTGATCTCAAAAATGATATACAGTCTGTTGTTAACTGGGGCAAGGAATGCCTTGTTAATTTTAATTCCTCCAAAATGAAACTTCTCTTTATTAATCATCTAAGAGAACCCTTTCTGCCTTCCATCGGTATAGCTAACCTCCAGGAGAGTGATTCATTCAGCCATCTTGGGCTAACATTCTCTGCTAACATGAAATGGAAAGGTTATATTGAATCAATAGCTAGGTCTACCACTAAGAAAGTTGGTTCACTGTGTTGTGCTAGAGAATTTTTATCTCCAGAATCTATCTTACATAGTTACAAGTCTCCCATTCATCCATGCTTAGAATATTGCTGCCACTGGTGCTCCTACTATATATTTAGAGATTCTTGATAAAATCCAAAGAATCAGCAATATTATTGGTCCTGACCTGGCATCTCAGCTTTAGTCATTTTCCCATCACTGTAATGTAGTTTCCCTGTGCCTTTTCTACATATTTCTATATTTCTACTTACATGGTAATTGTTCTGATGAACTTTGCTGTATGGTACCTAGACTTTATGAATTTAAAGACAGTACTAGATTGGTAAGAAGGTCTCATCATTTTACAGTTGAACTAATGAGATGCAACCATAAGTTCTATGTTAGCAGTTTCTTTTCTCTCACTTCTTGCTCCGTGTTTTCCAGAACTTGAAAAAGTTAAATGCAATATCAATCATTATGTACTGTCTTCTTGATTACTCTCTTAATGTTCTTGCTCTTTAATAATGTTTCTCTTTTTGCTTATTTTTTCACACTAAGTATCTCTTTGTATCTTAGTGGCTTTATGCCTTGCCTGATGTGAAATTATTTAAAAAAAAAAAAGTTCCCAAGATGCTTCCACAGACTGAAAACCAGATGGCCCTAATGCAGACAAGTGACCCAAGGTCCAAGATTTGATACTTCATAGAATTCTATATAGGATTCGTAGAATAGTGCAAAATAAAAGTATCTTCATTATTTTGACTGAATTAGATTGTATTCCAGAAAGCAATAATTGTGTCAGTACTAGGTTTTGCAATATTTGTCTCTGTACTATTCATCCCATTCTCTGTTCTACCATCCATTTGCACAAGTTTTTTAGGTATATTGATTATGGCTCTTCACTGCTTCCTTTTCTTTGTAGCTCTTAGCCATGTTTGTCTTTTCACTATCTATCCTTTTACACAAGCTTGTTATGTAGGTTGCTCATGGCTCTCTACAACATCCTATTCTTTATATCTCTTTGAGATATTTGTCTCTTTACCATCCATTCCACACCCTGTTCTGCCATCCACTTACATAAGTTCGTTATGCTGATCATGGCTCTCTACTACTTCCTATTCTTTTGTATATCTTTGTAATTTTTGTCTTTTTATTATTCATCCCATTTCCTGCTCTAACATCCATTTGCACAAGTTGTTAGGTACATTGATCATGGCTCTCCACTGCCTCCTTTCCTTTGTAGCTCTTAGCGATGTTTGTCTTTTCACTATCTCTCCCAATCCCTGTTCTACCATCCACTTACACAAGCTCTTTATGTAGATTGCTCATGGCTCTCCCCAACATCCTATTCTTTATTTCTTTTTGCAATATTTGTCTCTTTACTATCCATTCCAATTCTTTGTTCTGCCATCCACTTACATAAGCTTGTTAAGTATGTTGAGAATGGCTCTCTACTACTTCCTATTCTTCTGTATATCTTTGTAATTTTTGTCTTTTTATTATTCATCCCATTCCCTGCTCTAACATCCATTTTGCACAAGCTTGTTAGGTACACTGATCATAGCTCTCCACTACTTCCTTTCCATTGTAGCTCTTAGCAATGTTTTTCTTTCCACCATCTCTCCCAATCCCTGTTCTGCCATCCATTTACACAAGTTCGTTAGGTAGGTTGCTCATGGGTCTCCACAACATCCTATTCTTTATATCTCTTTACTATCCATTCCACACCCTGTTCTGCCATTCACTTACACAAGCACGTTAGGTAAGTTAATCAATCTGTTACATTCACTTTCACACAAAGCTCTTTGGAAACACATGAATCTATTTCTCCTCTACCAGGACAAGAGTTAAATAGCTGGGCAGATTGGGTTTGGATCACAGCTATTTTGGAAGAACTCTGAATTCAAAACATGTGTCACACTTTCTTTCTTCTGTTAAAGCAATTCCTACATATTTAAATTTTTGCACTTTTTGATTTTGACATTGTTAAAAGTGTTTTGTGTTCTTTTATGTGCCATATTCCTTCAGGATGTAGACAGTCATGGCCCTCCACATCTTCTTGTCCCTTGTAGCTCTTAATAAGTTTTATCTTTTTGTTATTTCTCCCAAACCCTGTTCTACCATCCATTTACTCAAGCTCATCAAATATGTTACACACTGCTTTACTTTGTCCCTCTTTCCCAAAATCTGTCCTGTGAGTATCAGGTTTTCCAAGCCCTCCTTCCTCATTATGTGCTCCAGAAATTTCAACTGCCTCTTCCTGATGTTAAGTATAAATTTTCTTTTGGTTTCCATTTTCTCCAAAACCTTGTTGTTGCTCACATGTTCAGTCCATAATATTCTTAGCACCTTTGAACAGTTAGTCAAATAAAAGAAGGAACCTTTTAGAGCCTGCGATTCTCAACCATAGTCTTGGAGATTCAGCCTTTTTTTTTAGCATTTCTGTCACGAATAGTCATCTTCTGTAGAACCCCATTTCTGTTGCTTCAAGTCTCTTCTTCATCTTTAAGGAGATTGTCCAGCATTTGCTGCCATACAAGAAGACAGATATCATGTAACAGTTCAATACTCTTTTCTTTGTTTCTAACAAACTTTTGTTGTCTCTTAATACTGTGCTTAGCTTTTGGAATGCATCTTTGGTCATCCCAATATGTCTTTGGATCTCTATGTCACATTTTACGTCCTTTATTAGAACACTTCCCAAATATTTAAACTTTTGTACTTGATTAATTTTAGTATCCCTGATTTGTAATTTGCCCCTTGGGCTCATCCTTTTGCTGATAACCATGCATTCTGTATTCTTGTAGGGTTAGGGTTAACTTCACTTAGTCTCTTCTTCTTGCTTTCCTTCACTACATTCTGTAGGATCTTTTGTAGTTTCTCTCATGGTGCCCACCTAGACTGACAGAATGAACTCTTCCGAAGGATATATATATTACGCCTCTCAAGAGAGACAAAGAGTATCAGTATTAGTACAGATTTGGTATTGGGACAGTAGTGAACCGAGTCGAGCTGATAGCAGTTATGCCAAACCAGTCAGACAGTCTTACTAACCCTTTCACTTCTTTGTATTATTTCTTGTGTAATATATTCTTTGTTATTTCTACTGTTGTGTTTTGTGTTGTTCTTCCATGGTCCTAACCCTGGACCATAACAGTTTTCTTTCCATGTCTGCTATCAACATGGCATTTATCAAACAAAATATGATTTGTGTTAGCTGTACTTAATATCTTACGAATAGTAACAGTGTACTGTACTACCACTGACTCTCTTATAATTCCAAGGGGTGTCTTCCGTAGCATATCCATCGTATATATCCCTTTTTATCCACTGGTTCAACTGTTAAGATCTGTTGTAATTATCATCTGCTTGTTTCATCGCTGCTGGCTTGGTGGTTGGCCATGTTTAGTCTGAATCCTTGTCTTCAACCTTGCCGCCAAGGGTGTTGCAATTAGGAGTTTAGAACACCTGACAGTATCGTTCTCAGAGTCATGAGACCATGCAAAGCCCTCCACCATGACAAGGAGTAACCATCAGATGTATGCACATAGAAACATACACACATAGACACACATATATATATTTTACACTGGATGTTGTTGTAGTTTCATAAATGGATTCTGCATGTCCCAATCCATATGTGCCACAGAAGAAAGATCATGAAATCAAGTGTGTGGGTCACTTCTTGGCAAGTTGAGGACCACCTTAAACAAATTTACACCATCAGCGCTTCCTTCTGCTTTGATTTTTTTTCACCTCCAACTAAATCTTGCAAAGCCAAACGGCAATAGGGAATGGATGACGAAAGTAGGTATTGGTGAAGCTTCTAGTCCTAAACCTGAGAACGGTGGCGTCTGGAGTTCCAAACACCTGGTAGGGCCACTTTTGGCAGTAAGGTCAAAAGAACAACTCCGTGGAGACCCCAACAGTGGAACCAGTGGGTGATAATTCCAACAGATCTCAATGGTTGAACGAGCGGATAAAGAGGGCTACACAACTCAAAATTATTAGAATCAGCTGCAGTCCGTTACAGTTTCATAACTGGATTCTGCATGTCCCATTCCATATGTGCCACAGAGGAAGGTCATAAAATCAAGTGTGTGGGTCACTTCCTGGCAAGTTGAGAACTGTCTTCAACAATTTCACACTCTCAGCACTTTCTTCTACTCTGATTTTTTTTCACCTCCAACTAAATCTTGCAAAGCCAAACGGCAATAGGGAATGGATGACGAAAGTAGGTATTGGTGAAGCTTCTAGTCCTAAACCTGAGAACGGTGGCGTCTGGAGTTCCAAACACCTGGTAGGGCCACTTTTGGCAGTAAGGTCAAAGTGCGAACAACTCCCGTAGACCCCAACAGTGGAACCAGTGGGTGATAATTCCAACAGATCTCAACGGTTGAACGAGCGGATAAAGAGGGCTACACAACTCAAAATTATTAGAATCAGCTGCAGTCCGTTACAGTTTCATAACTGGATTCTGCATGTCCCATTCCATATGTGCCACAGAGGAAGGTCATAAAATCAAGTGTGTGGGTCACTTCCTGGCAAGTTGAGAACTGTCTTCAACAATTTCACACTCTCAGCACTTTCTTCTACTCTGATTTTTTTTTTTCACCTCCAACTAAATCTTGCAAAGCCAAACGGCAATAGGGAATGGATGACGAAAGTAGGTATTGGTGAAGCTTCTAGTCCTAAACCTGAGAACGGTGGCGTCTGGAGTTCCAAACACCTGGTAGGGCCACTTTTGGCAGTAAGGTCAAAGTGCGAACAACCCCGTGAGACCCCAACAGTGGAACCAGTGGGTGATAATTCCAACAGATCTCAACGGTTGAACGAGCGGATAAAGAGGGCTACACAACTCAAAATTATTAGAATCAGCTGCAGTCCGTTACAGTTTCATAACTGGATTCTGCATGTCCCATTCCATATGTGCCACAGAGGAAGGTCATAAAATCAAGTGTGTGGGTCACTTCCTGGCAAGTTGAGAACTGTCTTCAACAATTTCACACTCTCAGCACTTTCTTCTACTCTGATTTTTTTTCACCTCCAACTAAATCTTGCAAAGCCAAACGGCAATAGGGAATGGATGACGAAAGTAGGTATTGGTGAAGCTTCTAGTCCTAAACCTGAGAACGGTGGCGTCTGAGTTCCAAACACCTGGTAGGGCCACTTTTGGCAGTAAGGTCAAAGTGCGAACAACCCCCGTAGACCCCAACAGTGGAACCAGTGGGTGATAATTCCAACAGATCTCAACGGTTGAACGAGCGGATAAAGAGGGCTACACAACTCAAAATTATTAGAATCAGCTGCAGTCCGTTACAGTTTCATAACTGGATTCTGCATGTCCCATTCCATATGTGCCACAGAGGAAGGTCATAAAATCAAGTGTGTGGGTCACTTCCTGGCAAGTTGAGAACTGTCTTCAACAATTTCACACTCTCAGCACTTTCTTCTACTCTGATTTTTTTTCACCTCCAACTAAATCTTGCAAAGCCAAACGGCAATAGGAAATGGATGATGGGAGCAGGTTCTGTTGATACTGGAAGCTTCTAGTCCTGAACCTACACATTGGCAGTGAATTTAATCATCATCATAAAGGAAGTGATCAACAAAGAAGAAATTAAATTCTTGCATATGAGATAAAGCAGATGGTGAAAACTGTACTAAACTGAATATCTTGCAAGTCATTCATAGTACATTTTTCCTATATTTTGAGTAATTATTATTTGTATAGAATTTAGACTTACCTTACTCATGGTCTTATTTCAGATTCACATGAACAAAGATGAACTGATTGATCCAATAAAAACAAGTAATCGAATGAAGCTTTCAGAACTGGAAAATTTGGTGGGGAACAAGGTAAATATATATCCAAGCTAATTTTTTTTTGTCTGAATTTCAGGGATGAGGATGTAATGACAAAAGTACGCAGGTGTAGACTTCAAGGAAGCTTTATTCAAGTGAGAATACAAGGTTTGCATATAGTGTCCTTTTATAGTCCCAGTAAACAGAAATAGCTCTCTCAAAGAGGTGAGTAACAAAACAAGGGGAGACCACTCTTGATTATTTATAACAGAGGAGTTATCATCATTTTCACTATTTATATTTCTTTGTTGTTTTTATCACAATGTTTCAGTCACTGTGCCCTCCGGCCTTTCTCAGGTGTTTATTGATCTGGGTAACCTACAGGGAATTCTGAACTGAACTCTTTATTTAATCTATGGGGTTAGACTGTTCTTGTTCCACTGCTCATGAATAGGAATATTGTCTAGTTCTTATTTTTAGTACTGCTCAGTTGTTGCTCACCCTATTTTGTCTAGTGGGTAAAAGCATTGGCTTGTGAATTTGATGACATAGTGGTTTTGAGTTCAATCCCTGGGTTAGGCAGTGTGTACTTGCACTCAGGCCAATAACTAAAGAGCGCTAAATTAAATAAAAACTAGACGATATCCCTTGACATGAGAAGTGGAACGAAAACAGTCTTCCCCCATTGAGTGCTGGTGTTAATAAAATAGTGCTCAATGTAAAATAAAAAAGCTATAAATTATATGTTAATAATATCATGGTATGTCTATGTAGATATACCATGATATTTGTATTATTTTTGCTATTACTAAGAGATATATATATATATATATATATATATATATATATATATATATATATATATATATATATATATATATATAAAACTTATATTTCTACATTTGTAGTTTGAAGTATATAAGTTTTGTGGATGTGTGTTTTTACACTTTTTTTTTTGTCATGGTAACTTGCATGTTCCAATGTAACAGTTTATAATACATGCTTATTGCTCTACTTTTGTATTAACCCCTTTTTTAAATTAATGTTATGAACATTATATATATATATATATATATATATATAAACGTGTAAAATGAATTAAATTGTTTCAGAAAGGTTAGGTAAAAATATATATTCTTTTACATCTGTTAACCCTCCAATTACTGACTTATTTAATTTTATGAAATTTTGAGAAATTCCTTTTTGTAGAGCTTAATGTTTATATTAGTTATAAGCAGAAGTCCTTGAAGAATTTAAATCATCAATTTTTTTTAAAACAGGCCCTGACCAGCTATCATAAATTTGCATCGAATCATAAAATAAAAATGCATTAAAACTAAAACATTATTTAATTAAAAAAGTTTTAATTACTTTTATGAATAAGATATATTAAAGACACTATTGTCTTAAAAATTTTTTTCGATGAATAATGAATTCTTACAAGAATTGTTTTAACTTTTTTAAAATTTTAATTAGAATAGTTTATTAAATTTTCAATCTTTTAAAAATCTGTATTAATTTGTACCAGTTAAGTGATATTGTTATGAAGTAAAAACTATATTTATTAATCATAAATGGAAAGGCTTACTACAATTCAGTGACTGCCCCACTCAGTATTTTAAAAAGAATTTTGAGGGTTTTTTGTGCATCTGTAAACGTGCTGATTTTTGTAAATACAGACATTGATATACAACATTATCAGAAAATAAATGGTAATTATAGTAAATTTAAAGCAAAAGTATCTAAAATTCAATAAAACATTAAATTAATTGAAATATTTTCCTAAATTTTTAAGATTATTGGTTAGTTAAAAAATTATTCAAGAAATGTTCTAACATTATATTCATCAAGTAATTTTTACTGATATATGCCCTATGGAAAAAAAATTCCATACCTAAATCTATTGAGATAGTTGTCAAAACCTCATAAAAAACACCATGTTAACAAATGCTTTTCTGTAAAATTTTAAACTAAAAATAATATCAATATTTACTTATTATCCCACTTTAACCATTTAAGCATTTACTAATACATAACGGGTTATATAGTGTTCCTCTTATCTTTAAGTTTTTTTCATTAATTTTTTCTCACATTTTACCTTGTCTACCTGTCTATATTTTTTATTCTTTTAATTTATATCCTAATATCATTAAATGTTAGCTTTATATTCTGTGCAGTGTTATTTCCTTGAAACATAGAGATTATTTATAAACAATATACAATTCCACTGTGCCCACCCACTCCTTTTTATTCATATTGCTTGCTCCTTAGGCTTTATAATTTCTTAACTTAAATCTTGCTTCTTTTTTTTTTCCCCCCAACAGAAAAATATGTACTATATAAACTTTAAGCTTGTATTTTTTGCTTTGTTTTTCCCCAATATCTCCCTCTATACACTCTACATTTTGAATTTATACCCCAATAATATATTGGGTTTATATTAACGTTGAGATTTGAATCTGTGTATAATTTAGCATTTCTCCCCTGAGACACAGTATTTTTTAAAAAAACAACAGTAATAAGCAGCCTATTTGCCATATATGCCTGACAATTTGGAAAACCATGAAACTTTATGTTGCACTACATACATAGGTATATGTGTTTATATATATATATGTATATATTAATTTAATCCGTCTAGGTTGAATAGGATTGACCTACTTGGCGTTGGTTGAAATAGACTATACCCATGAGGTAATTTTGAATTTCTCTGTTGTGTAATTTATATGCTCTATTATTATAAATACATTGCGCTCTTTTTGTGAACCAGTTTTAATATTTTATATTATTAGGACCCACTTGGATTATATACCAAAAGACTTTTTACCTGTACTATATATATATATATAGTACAGGTAAAAAGTCTATATATATATATATATATATATTTATGGATTATTAGTAAACAAAAAAATAAAATGTTTAAAAACTTATCATCTCAACTTCAAGTTTTTCAGATGTTATCTCATCAGGGTGTTAGATAAATTGAATTTATTTATTGAATTGTCTTGAATTACTTAGATGAAGCATTGTCAATTATTATTCATTTTTGACTTGTATTTTTTTCATCTTATTTCTCTTGATTTTCCACCAAGTAGTAATAGTCTTAAGTTGTCTGAATTTCTTAGATAAAGCTTTGTCAATTATTATTCATTTTTGACTAGTATTTCTTTCATCTTATTTCTCTTGATTTTCCACCAAGTAGTAATAGTCTTAAGTTGTCTGAATTTCTTAGATGAAGCCTTGTCAATTATTATTCATTTTTGACTTGTATTTCTTTCATCTTATTTCTCTTGATTTTCCACCAAGTAGTAATAGTCTTAAGTTGTCTGAATTTCTTAGATGAAGCCTTGGCAATTATTATTCATTTTTACTAGTATTTCTTTCATCTTATTTCTCTTGCTTTTCCACCAAGTAGTAATAGTCTTAAGTTGTCTGAATTACTTCGATGAAGCCTTGGCAATTATTATTCATTTTGACTAGTATTTCTATCATCTTATTTCTCTTGCTTTTCCACCAAGTAGTAATAGTCTTAAGTTGTCTGAATTTCTTAGATGAAGCCTTGGCAATTATTATTCATTTTTGACTAGTATTTCTTTCATCTTATTTCTCTTGATTTTCCACCAAGTAGTAATAGTCTTAAGTTGTCTGAATTTCTTAGATGAAGCCTTGGCAATTATTATTCATTTTTTACTAGTATTTCTTTCATCTTATTTCTCTTGCTTTTCCACCAAGTAGTAATAGTCTTAAGTTGTCTGAATTTCTTAGATGAAGCCTTGGCAATTATTATTCATTTTTGACTAGTATTTCTTTCATCTTATTTCTCTTGCTTTTCCACCAAGTAGTAATAGTCTTAAGTTGTCTGAATTTCTTAGATGAAGCCTTGGCAATTATTATTCATTTTTGACTAGTATTTCTTTCATCTTATTTCTCTTGCTTTTCCACCAAGTAGTAATAGTCTTAAGTTGTCTGAATTTCTTAGATGAAGCCTTGGCAATTATTATTCATTTTTGACTTGTATTTCTTTCATCTTATTTCTCTTGATTTTCCACTAACTTTGTAACTATGAATTTTTATGAAAATTTGTCTCTTTTCTTTGGGATTCTTTAACAGATTTGTCTTGGTTCTGTTTTCTTTTTCTCTAATTCACAGATAAATTTCACTCTCTTGGTGGAAGGACTACAAGGAAAAGCCCTCACTGAAGACATGGATGTTGTTGTTGCTTCTGTCGATTATTTCAAACGTCTTAAATCTCTCCTGCAAGTGACTCCGGAAGAGTAAGAATTTTATCACATTTCTTACATTTTACTTGTAAATTGTTTTACATTCCTAACACCAAAGTCTTATTGGTGTCATTTTAAACTGATACCCTCTTTTTTTTCTATATATTGTGAATGTTTTGCTTAAAGGTTGTATTTTCTTGTTTTAAGATGAGAACTTGAACATTTTTAACAGGTTTCATTGAAATTTTCACTTTACAAAATTAATTATACTTTAGATGTATATAAAGGAGGATATGGCTGAAAGAGGTGCATTTTACTTCAAGTTCATATTTTCTTGATTTCAGATGATGATTTGGAAATTTTCCAATATATTTCAGTGAAATTTTAATTTTCCAAATTATTTTTTAGAATTATATTTTAGATATACAGAGGCTGTTTATTTTGTACAAATAAAAACTTCTAGGCTTTTGAGCATTTCCTTACATTGGGTGCTGTTGAGTATTTTGGTATTATCCACTAACCTTTATTTTAGATTGATAGTTATATTTTGGCTGTTCAGGATATGCCAGTTAATATGTGCATGGATTGTACTGAGTTTTGATAGGTGACAAGTCAACCTGTGAGATGTATCCTGACCTGCACATCATGAATGACCAAAATATAATTATCAGTGTAAGAAAAATATTACTGAATAATACTAAAAATGCAAAGAAAGACTCAAAACCCTAGAAGCTATACTTATACTGTTGTAGTATAACTATGGACAATAATGGGTATGTACCCATTCACATAAATACAGTAGTAAATACTGTATGTTTGGCTGCAGTTAGAGATTCATTGTGGAATTCATTTGAATCACTTCTAGCATTTGAATACTTCTTCTATGCGCTGCTGGCAAATCTTATATGTGTTGTTTGTGTCCTAAGTATTATTGTTCATTACCAACCGTTGCGTGATTATTCTATTCAGTAAACATCCCTAGGTTGCAACATATACAATATATAAAATGATAAAAATATAAACGAAAAAAAAAAAAAAAAGAAACTAAATGCTAACAGTTTCTTTTTTTTTGCACTTCTTGCTTGTGGAACTTTCTTCTGGCGCCATGCTTTCTGCCAACTTTGGTTTTCAAAAAGATCCCTGATTTTCTGAGAGATATTTTATTATTAGTAATTTTATGAGGAAAGGGGATGTGTTGTAGAATTTTGGATGTTGATTTAACATGGAGAATTCCAAAATTGGTGAAATCTCTCTTTTAATGAAAACTGCATTCTTAATTCAAAATTATACTCAGACCATAAAACACCCTATTTGGGAAAGATCCTTGTTTTTGTAAAAGATCCTTATATTGTTTTAGTAGTAATTCTATAAGCAAATGGGATACGTTGTAGGATCCTTGCTGTAAATTTATCACGAAAGTTTATTCTAAATGTTGAATCCTGTTTTAAAACCTTTTTCATGTAATTGATATTTCTGATGTCTCTTTACAGAGTTCTTGCCAACTACATTGTCCTCAACACAATTGAAGTGATGAGTATGTTTATGCCTCATGAATTTGTCACTGCTTACCTAAACATCTTTGAATCATGGTCTGATTTGAAAAGCATTGAAAGTAGATGGAAACATTGCGTAGGCGCTGTCAAGTCAGCTTTTCCATTGCCTTTAGCTGCACTTTATGCTCTCAAGAACTTCCCAATATCTAGCAAAAGAGAGGTTTGTGGATATAACATTTACTGAATTAATTTAATGACTGAATCTTACAATATTATAATGGAAATAAAGGAAATATTTGGTATTAATGGACCAAATATTTAGATTTTGCAATACATTCTTATAGTAAAATCATTTGCAAGGTACTCTACAGTAAAATCATTTGCAATACATTATTTTAGTAAAATCATTTGCAATACATTCTTATAGTAAAATCATTTGCAAGGTACTCTATAGTAAAATCATTTGCAATACATTCTTATAGTAAAATCATTTGCAATACATTCTTATAGTAAAATCATTTGCAAGGTACTCTATAGTAAAATCATTTGCAATACATTATTTTAGTAAAATCATTTTCAATACATTCTTATAGTAAAATCATTTGCAAGGTACTCTATAGTAAAATCATTTGCAATACATTATTTTAGTAAAATCATTTGCAATACATTCTTTTAGTAAAATCATTTGCAATACATTCTTTTAGTAAAATCATTTGCAAGGTACTCTATAGTAAAATCATTTTCAATACATTATTTTAGTAAAATCATTTTCAATACATTCTTATAGTAAAATCATTTGCAAGGTACTCTATAATAAAATCATTTGCAATACATTCTTTGAGTAAAATCATTTGCAATACATTCTTTGAGTAAAATCATTTGCAATACATTCTTTGAGTAAAATCATTTGCAATACATTCTTTGAGTAAAATCATTTGCAATACATTCTTTGAGTAAAATCATTTGTAATACATTCTTATAGTAAAATCATTTGCAAGGTACTCTATAGTAAAATCATTTTCAATATATTATTTTAGTAAAATCATTTGCAATACATTCTTATAGTAAAATCATTTGCAATGCATTTCTATGTTAATGGTAAGATTAGCTGTTTCCATTGCAGAAATATTTGACATTGACAGTTCCTCTGAGTGGGTCAATTCTGTAACCCAATCAGAGAAAGAGAGTGACTTCAAAATTGGTTTGCCCACAAGTAACAAAAAATAATTCATTCTAACATCGTAAATTGTGGAATGCATGGTCCACCAAAGATTGTTGGTTGATGTGTGGATGGGTGTAATGTTCGGAATGAGAAACCAGAGTGCTGGGTTCGAATTCTATTTGAGTTTGTTACATTTACTTTTACATAAATAACCTTGTGGATATAAATCCATTTTTTCTTCTCCTCCCTAGCTATGGGTTAAATACTAGGAAGTATCTGGAAAAATCATTGTTATCTCTAAAAAATTGTTAATTGCAATATTCACTTGCAAAAACAAAAAAAAAATATTCTTACAATCCCAAAATATGTTCCAGTGATAAATGACCCATTAAGGGGTGATAAACCGTAAAAATAGCAAGCACTCAATCCATAAATCATAGTTTTTATCCACTTTCAAGCTTCTCCCAACAGCTTCTGGTAGGAAGGTATTTACATTTCCCCACCCCACTGACTTTTTAATGTGGTGTGCCCATGCTTGTACATACTGGCCAAGGTTAAAAATTACTCTGTCTTCATGACCATCGTCACACTAGTATTGGCATTTCACTGACCCTTCCTCTTTAGTGTAATGTAGGAGTTCTGCCACGGGGTTCGAACACTCTATCTAGTGTCAATGGGAATTTCCTTCCTAACCTTTTGTTTAAGGTATTGTGGAAAGTCAATATCTTGATTATGTCATTATTTTCTCTTTATGTTACATGTGCTATTTATTTTAGTTGATTCTGCTCTAATGTTAACCTTACCATTAACGAGAAAAATATAGAATTGACAAAACAACAAATGGAGATGATACATGGTTGAAAGGGGAAGAGTTTTTATTCCCTGTGGGTTAAAAGGTTCGATAGCTTGCTTGTTCTGGGATATTGTATGTCATTTGTGAGAGACTGATAGTTCTTTTAGGGCGTAACACAAGGTAGTAGTCGAGATAGGCATGTAGGTGAAATATTCCACAAACTATCACATTTTAGTAGTTGATAGTTTCTGCTGCTGCAGGTTTTGTCACTGGCCAAAGACACCACTGTTGATGGAAGCACCTTGATGTTGCTGCTGTTGTGAGGACCTAGGCAGTCATGTAGTAGTTTCCCATTTCTTGGGGATCCATTGTTAAAACTAGCCTGGTCATGGTAGAAATGGCATTGGATTTATAGTAAAAAGATATTTTATGATCCTGATATTTAGGGGAGGTATTCCAGAAGTGATATGTGGGGCCAGACACAATTAAGGTTTGTTTTTATCGTATAAGCTCTGCATGTTGAAGTGAGCACTTCTATTTGAGTCTTCTTCTTCTTATTATTATTATTATTGAGTTGCTCCACCACATCCATCCAGTGTTGCACACAGAGCCTTGCCTGGGGTGTTAAGGTTTCAAGGTTGTTAAATGTGCATGGATCTTCAAGATTAAGAAAAACTAAAAGATGCTCCATAGTTTGCCATTGCCCACATTGGCAGTTGGGATCATCATTGGTGATATATCCCCTTTTCTGAAATTTGGCTCAACAGTGTCCAACAGCTGTTTGGAAGTGATTCTGGCAAGACCAGAAGGGCCAGGCATCACTGGAGTCAGCAAAGGATTGATTTTGTAGGGATAAAAGAGAGCCAGAGTCCCACATTGTTAATATGGCTGCACCACAGGGACAAATGCTGACTAGGAGCTCAGTTGTTCAGTAGTTCAATTGAATGTAGAAAGCTGTCCATTTGAGTCAAATAATTGGTGTTTGGAAACGGTATGGTGCAGCTTTTTGAAGTCTTCAAGTGATGCTGTCTTTTATTATTTCGTACTGATCTTTATTTGTATTTCTGTATCAACAGTCTGAGAGAGCTGACAAAGTACAGTCCTCCCTCAGTCCAAAGGGGCTCATTTGCTTGAAGCGATTGCATGACATCCATATGGCAGATGAGATCTTGCATATTTTGTAGAAAATGACTTTTGCTATTCCTATGTACCTGCAGATTTCTGTGTCACAATTTTCATCATCAATTTCTACAGAAACCAGTTAATTCAATTTCGATATCTGCTTGATTTTGACATTCCCAATATGTAGTTCGCTACTTAGGAAGTCCCTTTTGCTAACAATACAAACAAAACTTTTCAAATTGCAACCTTACTTTTCGATGTAACTGACATTGAAATTAATGCAATTGAATTAAGTTGTCTAAATTTCTTAGATGAAGCATTGTCAATTATTATTCATTTTTCACTAGTATTTCTTTTATTATATTTCTCTTTCTTTTCCACCAAGTAGTAATAGTCTTAAATTGTCTGAATTTCTTAGATGAAGCCTTGGCAATTATTATTCATTTTTGACTAGTATTTCTTTCATCTTATTTCTCTTGCTTTTCCACCAAGTAGTAATAGTTTTAAATTGTCTGAATTTCTTAGATGGAGCCTTGTCAATTATTATTCATTTTTGACTAGTATTTCTTTCATCTTATTTCTCTTGCTTTTCCACCAAGTATTAATAGTCTTAAGTTGTTTGACTTTCTTAGATGAAGCCTTGTCAATTATTATTCATTTTTGACTAGTATTTCTTTCATCTTATTTCTCTTGCTTTTCCACCAAGTATTAATAGTCTTAAGTTGTTTGACTTTCTTAGATGAAGCCTTGGCAATTATTATTCATTTTTGACTAGTATTTCTTTCATCTTATTTCTCTTGCTTTTCCACCAAGTATTAATAGTCTTAAGTTGTTTGACTTTCTTAGATGAAGCCTTGGCAATTACTATAAATTTTTTGATTTCCATTACTTTCATATTCTATTCTTATACAGTTTTTTCCATTGAGAGTCCATTGAATAAGCAAGCAGCACAGACAAGTGAAAGAAAGTAACAAAAATAAGATGAATGATAAACTAGTCAATAAAATTAATCACAACTTTTTAACTAAGAAATTTCGTCTTAAGACTATTATATCCTCTACTACTACTACTAGTTGCAAGAAAGCAAGAGAATAAGACAAAAGAAAAACATAAAAATGAATGCTTTATTGAAAACCTCTAGAGACAGATACATCTAAGAAATTTATTTTCTTGTTTGTATTTCTTTCTTTTTCTCTTTCAGGTTGAAAGAATGTTTGCGGAAATTCGTGAGGCCTTCATTGCTAGTGTTCCAAAGTTGGACTGGATGGATGATACAACGAAATCCCAAGCAATTGCAAAGGCCAAGTCCATGAAAGTTGTGATTGGATTTCCTGAGTGGATTCTCAATTGGGATCAACTGGACGAATTTCATAGCCAGGTTAGTGTATACCTACAACATGACCCTCACTGAAGCTTTCCACTGACCAGCCAATGATCTCCCTCTCCACGATGCATTTCAATCTTTGATCTTGTCGGTGTTTACCGAAGGCTGGGAAAGGGCACAATGCATGCTCACAAAGTAACATGATGAAAGAAACACCACATTGAGAAATAAGAATATGAACTGTGTTTCCCATATTATATGTAGATGTTTTATTTAGGGATTTGCCTGCTCATCCGAGTGGGTAGGTAGGTAGGTAATACTTGGGACAACTTCTGCTATGTTAGCACCCCCTCCCCTGAAAAACTCTGCAAACATCTACTCATCCTGACATTGTGGCTTGGCAATAAGAAATGAAGGATCCTGATCTGCTCAACAGACTTGTTTGCCTCCTGCTAAGTGCAGGCTAAAACTCTCCTTGATGCCAAGCATGACTGTTAATATAGACCAGCACGTTATATCAGCACATTCAATACTAGGACACTGAATCCACCGTCCCGTCTTAACGAACTTGTGAAAGATACAGAGGATCAGAATATCGATATCATTGCCATTCAAGAACATCGTTTCTTCCATCCTGACACTGATATTGAGTACCACAGGATCGAAGACTATCATCTTGTTACAGCCTCATGTGTGAAGAACTCCGCCAAATCTATAGGTGGTGTAGGCATTCTGCTTTCACCAAAAGCGATGGAGAATTTATCGAGTGTAGTGAAGATATCATCAAGAGTCGTTATTGCCGACTTCAAAGGTAATCCTAGAACAACAGTCATATCTTGCTATAGTCCCCACAACGATAGTGACGATGAAGAAATAAACCAATTTTACAATACACTATGTTCTACTTTGGAGAATGTTCCAGCTCATAACTTTCTCTTAGTACCTGGGGACTTTAACGCTAAGCTTGGAACAGATGATGTTAAATTCACTTTCCATACAGAAACCAACCGTAATGGTGAGCATCTAGTTGATTTAATGGAGGAATTTAATCTGTATCCAGCTAACACTAAATTTATGAAGTGCAACAATCAACTATGGACCTTTGAGTATCCAAATGGCAGCAGAGCCCAACAGGACTTCATACTGGTCCGTAAGAAGTGGCAGAATAGCATCAAAGACTGCCGAGCATACTCATCTTTCTCTTCCGTGGGATCTGACGGTCGAATTGTCTCTGCTACAGTTAAACTGAGTTTTAGAGTTTTGAAGAGACCAACTGCGGATCCCATGAAAGTTATTGACTGGAAAGTGGTCTACCGTGACAAAAATCTATCATCTCGGTATGCAGTGAATGTGTTTAACAGATTCCAAGAACTCTCTCATTATGATCCAGAGAACTCTCAGTTAGATTCAAGGAACATAGACCTGATCTATGGAAACTTGATTAAAGCCAATGAGGAGGTGGCTTTATCTACGCTCCCCAAAAAACCAAAATCACAAAGAAGTCCAGTTAGCTCAGACATCAAAATCTCAGAAGCTCGAGAAAATCTCAAGAAAACCTCATCGATGTACCATTGCCACCCTTCTCAGAGCAATAAGAAGTTAACAGCTGCTAAAAAATTCCTTGATCATGCTTATCTTGAGGCAGAAGCTTATATAAATGGCAAAATAACTGACATTTCCCATCTTCATATCAACCAACAACACTCTGCAGCTTGGAAAACTATAAATGAACTCGTGGGAAAGGGATCAAAGCCTCCACCAACAATCAAAGGTGGCAGCCGTGAGCAACGGCTTGGTAACTGGCTTTCTCATTTCAAAAACCTCCTTGGTAATCCGCAAGTCTTTCAGACAACGTGTCCTTCCCAAAAGTTCAAATTAGTAGTGTTTTGAATGTACCAACAGGAGAGTACACCATTGCAGAGTTGAAAAGTGTTCTAATGAAGACAATGAACAAAGCTCTTGGTCCTGACAAGATTCCGGTCATCTTGTGGAAGGACCCTATTTTTCACCAATTACTTCTTGATCTGTGTAATTATGTAAAGCCCAACCACGTTTCACCAACCATCTGGCTACAATCGCAAATCATCCCCATCCCCAAAAAGGGTGATTTGACATTACCAACCAACTATTGCGGTATTTCGTTGCTTCCTATAGCTGTGAAAATCTATAACAAGCTTCTTCTGAATCGAATTCGCGCTGAAGTTGAACCCATTCTACGCAAAAACCAAAATGGTTTTCGCCCAGGTTGTTCCACTCTTGGACAAATCCTCATATTGCGTAGAATAATTGAGGAAATCACATTCTGCAATAAAATTGCAGCTCTTATTTTTGTAGACTTCAGCAAAGCTTTCAACTCAGTCAACCGCGAGACTATGCTTGAAATTCTTGAACTCTATGGCATTCCAGTAGAAATCATTGAAGCAATCAAAGTATTGTATACCAACACACAGGCCACTGTCCTGACCCCAGATGGTGAAACAGAACCTTTCGATATTCTGGCTGGCATTCTCCAAGGTGACACACTAGCACCTTTCCTTTTCATGCTTATAATAGACTACATCATGCGTATATCAGTGGATACAATCAAAGAAAATGGACTGATGTATCAGCCTAGAAGAAGCTCACATCATCCTGCACTCTATATCACCGATGCTGATTTTGCTGATGACATTGCACTGTTGTCTGACAACCTCATTAGTGCCCAAGCACTCCTTTCTTCTCTTGAATCAGCAGCTAACTGTGCAGGTCTTCACCTAAATGAAACCAAAACTGAGTGTATGCCAATTAACATTCGCAACAATCATGAGATCAAAACACTCTCAGACAACATCCTCAAATGTGTCGAAGACTACAAGTAACTAGGATCACACATCAAGAACTCTGAGAAAGATTTCAACATTAGAAAAGGCATGGTATGGACTGCTTGTAACAAAATGGATAAGATCTGGAAATCCAATCTTGCTCGTCAATTCAAAATCCAACTTTTCCGCGTACTTATTGAGCCAATCTTACTCTATGGCTCTGAAACTTGGATCTCTCAGCAAAACAACAGCGCCGTTTAGATGGATGTTATATATGTCTTTTAAGAAGAGTGCTTAATCTGTCATGGCAAAACCGCCCAACTCTAGAAACGATATATGGAGACTTGCCGAGAGTATCATCCTTAGTTTGCAAAAGACGTGTCCAGTTCGCTGGGCATTGTGCACGTGCCACAGATGAACTTGTCATCATTTGTACTCTGGAGGCACCCATCATCTGACAATCGATCACGCAAGTTAACCTTTCCAGATAAGATAAAACGAGGCACATTGATCCCTAAGGAAGATCTTTTAGGAGCTATGACGGATAGGGAATACTGGAGAGGTGTAGTGAGTTCAATCTCGGCTGAGGCTGCAGGATGATGAATATAGACCAGCATCTGGATATAACCTATTTCCAGTTTTGCTACCACTTGATCTCCAAAAATTCCTTTACTTCCTGTTCTCCTTTGGTTAACGTGGATGCTGCTTAGAAGACTGAACTTCAAGGGGAACAATCTGATGGTCTATAAAACAGAAACACTTGTGATTGAGATAAAACGCCCACTTTTCATTCTATATTGGTTTCTGTAGTATTACAGTAAATGAGGGAAAGAATTGTCAAAACATTAAAAAAATATATGCATTTGCTATTGATAAGATAGTGTAGGGATTACCCTCCCCACCACCTCTGCCAAAACGCTCACTGGGTAGCCTGGTTCAGGTCTATAAAATGACGGGACAATAAATCTCTTTTACTCTGCTTCAAATTAGATCTCTTTTTGATTCACTCCACATCAAAACCTGTCAATTGAACATGAACACTGCTGCTGATGCTAAATCTAATATCAAGAAGGACATGAAACCACAAGACCCACCACAGGGTAGTCATCAGATTGTGAAGTCTTCAAAAGTAAAAATAAAAATCTTACTCTCTGTGCAGGGGCTCTGAGCATCACATCCAACCCTAAAACGAATCCCCTCCCCCCAAATTATAAAATACAATATAAAAAGAACCAATCATGAATGGTACTGCTAAAACAGAAGTGTGATAAAAAGTCATGTATCCTCCTTGACTGCTTAAAAGGAACTGTTCATGACACTCAAGATAATCACAGACAGGCAGATAATTTACTAGCAGCCATGAGTCAACCAACCCAATACAAGCTTCAATGCTAGACTCTACCAACTCCCCCATCATCCAGGTCACCACTCTTGCCCACAAAGAGACATTCCACCTTCATCCTTTATATTTGCAATACAGAGAATTTTATTTTAACATGTCTTCTTTTCTTTCCACCTCACCAATGGTACTTTGTTGTTTGTTTGGTCTTGTGCAACCACATGCAGTATATTTTGCTTCAAAAAGTAGCAGTACCAACATGAGCTGTGTTTCCACTAGGGGAAATTTATTTTCCTTGGGCATTTGATGACTAAAGTTTAACTCACACACACATACACAACTCACCCTCCTCCATGTTTCCTGATGGCAAAGACTTAAACATTTTTCTTCCTTTTCCAATATGTCTGAAATGTACTTTTTGTGTTCTTGTATCATTCTCTTTATATATAAAAAATACTCTTTAAAAACACTTGTAATACACAGGAACAAAACTGTGATTATATTGATTTAAATTTGAACACATAATGTTATTTTCTCAATGATATATTTTCCATTTGTACAAATAAGTTTTTTTCTTAATAAACCACTGAGCTACAAAGATCAGGAATTGTGGAGAGCAATAACTGCCAAAAGTCCAAAAGCATCTCCATGTCCTTGTGGGTGACAAATTATTTTCCACTCTACAACCTCTTTCCCCACAGACAAAATGTTGCAAGCCTCTCACTGCTCTATTGCTATTTCTATGGAAGGAGTTCTAACAAAGGGCATTTCGTAGTTCCGCCAGCTCTAACCTTCACTGCTAAGACTCAAGATGCTGCAAACTTTGTAGTGAACCACCCTCATTCTTTTCATATTCAATTGCAGAGATGTAAGTTCTACTCAAGAAGTTTCTTCCTTTCAAACCAGTGCTTTGT